TTCTTTTGATCGCCCACGAGTGTTGTGTCAACTACCGTTTCGAAAACCGCCCACATAAGTCTCAACTTTCTTTTCATTTGTGTTGCCGTTCTCTTTATTTCAGTATCTCGTAATTGGGCTACGATCTTTTCGTGCGTTTCGTGTTGAATTAGTATTTCCGTCCAAATTGACTCTTCGTAGACTGTTCTCATCACACTCACAGCCGCCGTTGTTACGACTATGAAAATGTTTTGAGACTGTTCAACAATGACCATTAATCTTATATTAATATTAATTAAAGGGAACCTCAATCCAAACAACATAATGACCCCTAAAGAAAAAGCTCCACAAATGTAGGAGAATGCAATTTACAGTTTTGTTGTATCACTTTTCATTCTCTAGATATTCCACTTTTCATCAGTATTACGTAGTCAGCCATCTTGATTTTCAAGCAAAGGATTATGGGTAAAGTATGACATCATAGAATCTGTTGTCAGAAATTGGGAAAATGATTTCATCTATAACTTCAAAAATTGAACTTCAAATTGGCTGAAAGTTTAGAAATCGGTAGCATACATGTACTCGTGCCATCCATGCTAATAAAATAGTTGTCGTGGAAACAGAACTGAAAATATTTATTTTTATGTTTTTCTACCAAATGCTAAAATTTCCTTATATTATATACAATTTACCAACATGAGTAGGTTATATAGGTGATATATCACATGTTGAGTGCAAAAAGGGGACACAAAAGTGACATTCTATATTTCACAACTAAAATATTGATTTTTATTTTTTTAACGTTTTCAACAATATCTTCACTTTATGTGTATTTGTAAAATTGCCATTTCCATTACTATAATTATATACATGAGTAATATGTACAACGAAAATTTGAACTAATTCGCATCAGTATTTCTCATGTTATAGATGAAATAATTTTCTCAATTTCTGACAACAGATTCTATGATGTCATACTTTACCCATAATCCTATGCTTGAGAATCAAGATGGCTGACTACTTATTAACGATGAAAAGTTGAATATCTAGAGAATGAAAACTGTTATAAAAAATGTGTAAATTGCATTCTCCTACATTTGTGGAGCTTTCTCTTTAGGGGTCATTATGTTGTTTGGATTGAGGTTCCCTTTAAGTTTGAACATATTTCATGAGTTATTTGCGCTGTTTGCGCTGAATGTAGGTATTTTTCTGACTGGAGACTGAAAAAGTTGGTCTCTTTCGAGATTCCACGGCTGATAAAAACTAAACCCTTTTGACATTCATGTCACGGTGACGTTCTTTGATCAATATATTATTTTCGATGTTCCCATTCTTCTAATGTGTGTTTATAATAGTACATACTTTATCTAAAATTTAAACTTCATCTCAACATATAATTGTTCACCTTTCTTCAATAGTTTACCGTAAATTTGCTACGCTGTTCATTTCTTTGTAGGTCACGCTTCTTCTCCGTGATTCTAGTATAAGTGGATTTCTACTTGCCACAGTGACGCGGCTAAGGTCGGAACTACATTCATACTACATTTTGTAATTTGATTTTTAGTTTTAGACATTGCTCGTTCGTTTTAATGGATTTCTAGTACTAAGACCACAAAAGTCTCCCAATTATATATAAATACGAGTATGTTGAACTGTTTTCTTTGATATTTTCAGTCAATTGACAGACCTCGAATATCATAAAAACCACTTACAGAATGTGATCCATTTTTGACTACTGTACAGTCACCCGTGTATTAGTATTAGTGTAGATGGTGTTTATCAGTTTTGTGTTCATTTCATAAATAAACACGCTAATATTCATATTTTTCCTGAAATGACCATGTAACCGATCATTACGTGACTGTTGCTAATACAAGTAAAGCAACGACTCTGGAAATGTTTGTCGTTTTATTTCCCAACAGAAGAGGAAGCGTTATCGCCGAATTAGTCGCCATTTTTAGTCAACCTATCAGTGACGTTGTACGCATAGAAACATTGAGGACTGTCTACACGCAAGTGGATACTGGTTCCCTTGGAAACTATCCGAGTAGCAACCTAACAGCGGTTTCGGAGGATGGTGAGTACCATTCGCTTCCACAAATTATATGCGCACAATTTTTCTCGCATGTTTTATGGAGGCGTACAAAAACTCGGTACGTGTTTTTATATAACTCAGTGAGTGAGTGGGTATGTTTACAGATTTATGGAAATGCATATTATTGTTTAGAGTTAAGGCGCCCTCATCGTTGGATCGCGTTGTTCAACGTGGGACCCACGCGACGCGTGTAAATTACAAACACAGACGTGGCCATTTAAAACAAAAATAGGTGAACTTAATGTATTGATATCAGTAAACAAATTCTGACAACATACAATAGACTGGAATGTGCGTGGACACCAGAACGCGCTGTGAGTGATGGTTTTACGATTCATTCGTTTCAGGTTCCGCACGTACGATCGACTGGTGCTACGTAAAACCCTGCCCATCTGCGATGACCTGTACACTTCTCCCCAACAAATGCACGGTTTTATGTCGTCATAATGTAGATTTTTGTGAAAATGGCGGGGAATGTGTATTTGACACGACGCAGGATCTCATACACTGTCGGTATGTACTTCCCTGGTTTACATAATTATATCAATCATTCCGTCTGTTGTCATTTATAAAAAAGAAGGGTTTATCAAGTATATACTATCAACCCAATAAGCTTGTTGTTTATCTTCTATATAATCCTTAAGATCTGGCTCAAAACAAAAAAATACTGTCTTTGCGGACTCGGATTCCTCGTTTGTGAAATTTCCTAAATGTGAGACGCGCACGTGAGACAACATTTTGCAAGAATCGGATAATTGTGACACTATAGCGGAAATACAATGTTTAAGTTATACAATCGATGAAGCTTTTGCAGAGCTGCATTTTCCGATCTGGTTTGACTTTGATGGTGTTTTTAAATGGCGGTGGTCGTCGCGCAGTGCGTGTTCGAATTTTATGTAAACAAACAGTGTATTTTACAGGCGTTGTATACGTGGCTATGAGTCCCATATCGAACAAGACGCGGTGCGCCGACCACTACCCTTTAAGGTTCACCATTGATACCAATTAGCGTAAATTAATTCAGAGGCAGTTGAACTAGAGTTTCGTACGCATTTTGTAAAAAAAAAATTGACCATAATTTCTATCTCACACCATGGATTGTTTTACAGGTGTTCTACAGACTATTACGGCGTCCGTTGTGAATATTCACATAGAGCGAGTGGTAAGTGTGAATAACGTTTCTCTGCCTGTTCTTTCTAATATATATCGCCACATATAAACGTTTTCTTGTTTACCACTTCGTATGAATTGATATTGGTTAGAACATGGAAGTAGAACAAAATATTTTATCTTTATGGCTAGAATCACGAATAAAACCAGCCAATGTATCTCTGAGTAATATGTGTAGTATCCTTCCCATAAATTGCGGCCCCTAGTGATGAAGCGCTTCTGTGGTCTACTATTGCGTGAAAAGGCAGGAAGACTGTTTACAATGGTACAATAATATGTAGTCATCCGCCTTGAGATAAGTACTACATTTCAAATGACGTACGATTACGATTACACAACCAAGCATAGTTGTCGTTTCGAGCTACATCACTTAAATTCACATTTTGACTTCCCGTAACGCCACGTGACTAGGAGGTGCGATTTATATGAAAGATATATTACTACTTCCATTCCCAGGGGAGGGGTTCTCTGAATAAAACATTGTACGCAAGCTGAAGTAAACAACGCGTAAAAGTGGTGTTATTTAGTTATTTGACGCGTATACGCGTGTACGGTGTTTAGGCACAGTCACTCTACTAGGAGTGACTGTGGTTTAGGTAATAAAGTGTGAAGGAATAACATGAATTCATGTTACTTCAACTTGGAAACAGTATGATTTTAGTATGTATATAGGGTATCTATTTTAAGTTTCTGCCCATAAAAAGGGGGTGTATAATTTCACAAAATACGTGTTTAGAAAAGCTTTACATCAGCATGGGTACTAGGTCTGACTTGGAGTCTTGGAGTACCCCCCCCCCGGCTCCCATTGTACATTCTTACTGGCATATTCATTCGTGAAATACACACGTGTACATGTACGCAGTATATACAGTATTCACTTCGGCCGAGTCGAAGACTACGTGCCGTTTAGCTAAGGGGTTTGGTTCACATACACAGTAAAGTTTAATTTCAATATCATGGTATTTACCTTGCCAAGTATTCGATGTTATTTCTACACATTTCTTCCATTTTGATTATTAACAGCGGATACGTCTATAGTAATACATTTCGCTGTACATGTATATTAATTATGTTAATTTCAATCATTAGTATTGCTCACTTGATTTCAATTTCCTAAATCAGAAGCCGAAGCTGTCACATACATTGTAGCCGCGATGTGGGTATGTCTATTTTGTGCAGCTGTGATTATATTCGTATTTGTATATATGAGAAGGTGTTTCTGCATGGACAGGTAAGTCATACTACGCATGCGTCATTTCAGCGACCATGTCTACATTGTTTTGTCTCTTTCATCGACAATAACGTTTTACTATTATTGCAATGGTTTTGAACGACCCACTAAAATTGTACTCTTATAAGAAAGAACATAAAGGTCCAAATTCACGGCTCCTGGCAAGCGCTGCACTCACGCTTGGTCGCTGACTTTTGACAGTTGTTTCGTGTAGTAATACTAGTATACTAATGAATTGAGTCTCGACATTATTTATTTTTGAAAAAAGTACTAGTAGGCAAATCTGTCACAAAATAACAAAAATATCACCCGGGGCATATAAAGTATTAGTTCTATTCTATCCGAACTTCTAGACGATGTGTACATAGTTAAAGTTTCATGTTCATTACATTAATATCTAACGTGGATTTGAATACGTCACTCTTACTGCGGATTTCTTCTCTAAAACAGCCTACATTTGGGTTTTAAAACATCTTTGAGTGTCCATGGTTGCCAAGTAATCCTACTTACTGAAGTGTTCAGAGCTAAGATCAATTTCTTGGATTATGTATGTAATCGATCATAAATTCTTATTCGTGGATACATTAGCATATTCCGATCATTCCGAAATAAATAATGTAATTTAACCACAAGTCTCTTAATTATCCCAAAATATTCTACTAGGGTTAAACATGATGAGTCATAGGATATGATAAATTACATGCACGTATTACTATTATCACGTGACTACAATTACGCATTCTTAATATGTTATGTTATATTTAAATACAGGTTACATAAATCCAAATTAAGCAAATGGCTCAACTTCAACAAGACAGATGAGAGCACTGACGGGAGCATCTTTGAACCAAGTGATAACGAGACAGATAACACGGTTGACGAAGAAAACAATGTATACAATCACCATGACAACATCCTCGACGTCAGACTATCAAACTTTCAACTGGCTATTGAAGACAAAAACGTGCAATATCGTACCCAAACACAGACGAATGAGAAAGAAAGTATTCCTCTATGAATTACATTATGTTCATTGTTTTCTACATGCATTCTATGATTGATTTCATTCCGTTACGAATTAATAGCGTAGATTATTCCGATGCTATCAAGGCTCAACTTTATAATGATGTTTATATTTCCGCCAATTTACCAGTAAGAATTCGCATAATGTGAACCTATAATTTGTTAATTACTCTGTAATCAAATTAAATAAAAAAAATTATCAGTTATTTTCGTTGTATTTTTTTTTTATAGTATCAGAGGTACATTACTTGCGGGTCGCAACTACGGTGACATGATACCAAGATCCCGTTTCAATCTCGCTCTCGCATAAGCGTTCCAACTCAGAAAAATGCGAATGCGCATGCCCGAGGTAACTAGGATACTGGGATGTCCGGGTGGATCAAAATAGCTGCTTACGATATGACAGATTACGATAACTATATTTTTTGTACATTTTCGATGTATTACATTTTTTTCACTATGAACGTGTTTTATTACAAACCGCCTGTCATGTCAGAAGGTCGTAGCATCAGTCTCGCTATCTACGAGATGAAACTTGAATGGGATCTTGGCATGATGTCACCATACAGTACTATGCGCGTTGCAAACCACAAGTAATGTACCTCTGATAGTATAGTGATTGTGGATTCACGGGTAAAAAAAAACAAAAAATATAATATTTATCGAACATTCAACTTTTAGAAAAACAAACCTTAGAACCCCGTCGGCCGGCCAGTCACACTGGTTTCTCACTACAAGAAGTAACGAATTCCAGCTAACAGGAAATAGTAAGATTGAACCGAACAGCAAAGTCGAGTTGGAGAAAAGTAAAAAAACAATAGGTATAACAAATGGATTTGCAATTTTCCATTTCTCAAGAAACAGCGAGCGTCATTTGCGGCCCATGATCTCTCTGACTACTAATAAATATATTAATTATTCAGTTGTCTGAGCCCAAATGTACTCCAACCTGTCCTCCTGTTTAACAAGTTTGAAGTACTGGTACTCTGATTTTATTTTGCTAATGATGCGAAAAAGAAAAAATACACTGGCGAGAAAGAAATTTACGCCAGGGATGATGTGACAGAATAACAAACCATGTTGTAAAAGATCAGTAGAAATGTGAGAAATGAAACGACGGAGGGCGCCAATCAACGGATATTCTTTATAAATGTGAGTGAGAGACTCCAGGTCACCACGAAGTGGACAGTCAGCAATGTTTGTCCTGGCAAGAAAATCAGCAGTAGTGTATGCACGTCATTGTAACCCCCTCACGTTTTGTGATGGAGAAGTATAACAATCTTTGAAGTTGGGTTTAATGTCTGAACTCAAAACCAGTACACCGCGCCACACAGCGTCAAGTTTGTATGGTGACGACTATTGTTTGTAGATTGTGCTTTTTTAAGTTTGTTAAGTTCATTTCATCTGAGAGGTGTAATTGGAAACTAAGGTGACCTGGAACAGATCGTCAGGAATAGCATCACGAACAACAATCAAACTAAGGCCAAGTATGCCCTGCTGTGTATATTCACAAAAAAGGCGATGTAAAACCAGATATTATTTTTCACGCACCCTCCAAACGCCAACAGCGGCAAAATGTTTTTAAAGAAAACGTTCATTTCGCACTGGATGTCGATCTTACCATAAACAGTTGAAAGACCTTTGGAGTGAGGAAACAATATAGGGAGTTGGGTATAAATTATAAAAGCGATAACATAACTATGATGACAGCAAATTGTTTATTACGAGTCGGAATGGACGCCCTCTGTTTTAACCTGATTCCTTTATTTCAGTCCAGTTTCTGTACATGAATGTTTTTGTGTTCCCTAAGTAGGCAACCAAAAGTTTCAAGCCAGTACAGTTCCACTTATAATGTCCCTCCGACTTTTGAAAGTTGATTTTGGAATTGGACGTGATCTCATTTTTATTTTTCTATGGTTTTGGGGTAAAACTTGCATGCGTGATATTGTGCTTCTGGATGCACTAATCGATGTCACAAAAATAAAATTCCCTTCTATTGGTTATCAGCAAACCGACATGTTTGTATTTTCAGCTATTACAACGCCGGAGTATTTTTGCACCCCAGCCTCGCTACTTCCGGGAAAGTCGTCTATAATAGATAGACATAGGATTGGACATGCGATATTTGAGGCACAGTCAGTTGGCGTACATGTGATAATAAAACAAATGCAATTAATTTACTGATATTTAGTATACAAGGACAATTTTGTTCCACAGAAACCCAGCCAAGAAATTGACATGACTGTCAGTTTTACAGTAATAATAGTTTATTACGCAACTGTAATCTGCTGTGGATACGTACAGTAAGGTAAAAATAGTGTAAAATAAAACAAATAAAAATAACTACAAATTTAAAAGTTCTAATAACTACAAAAAATCAGAAAGTAATAAAAATATAGTAAATAAAGTAAAGGTAAAGGTTCTCCCTACCCAGGGGTTTATAAGGACAGAGAAATGTTATTTTCCATAATTTTTAAGAATATTATGTCTTTGTTCTTTTCACTTGAGGTAATTTCGCAGTTTTTCAGGAGGATTTTTCTTTCATTTTCAAAATGTGAGCAGCTCTGAAGAAAGTGTTTTTCATCCTCAATATCGCCTTGATCACATTTTTTACAGACTCTTTCTGCTGCTGGTAGTTTTGGTTTTCTCCTTCTCCCCAGTTCAATTTCCAAAATGTGATCACTAAGCCTGAATTTTGGTAACATTCTACGTAAGCTAAAGTTATTTATTTTATTTAGATAATTTTCAAGTTCATAGTTTATTTTAAATTGTTTATACACCTGTATGTCCTAAGTTTATTGCCTTTATTGTTGTCTCTACTACCAGTGGACGAGTTTAGCTGCTCCTTCCAAGACTGTTTGTATCGGTCTCTTAATTTCACTTTCATGATGTTTGATAACTGGCTAATATTATCTACATTATGCTGTTCTTTTGCTTCGTCCAGTTCCTAATGACTAATAATATTTTCAATATGTTTTATCCACTTTGATTTAATTGCCTTGTTTTCATTTAATGAACATTTCAGAATATTATTGTCAGCAAACATGCTAAGTCTATACCAATATTAAATTTTTGCTAGAGTTATTTTTATTCTAATTGGAAATATTCTTAACTCTGCTGTTACACCAATAGTTGGTGTCAGTTTACTGAAACCAAGCATAAAGCGGTAAAACTGACTACCCACTTGCTCTAACATATTGTTGTCATTAGATATCTCGTCAGCCCAAATTTCAGCACCATACATTATGATTGGTGTTATTAACTGGTCAAACAGTTTCAAACATAATGAAGTTGAATGTCAGACTGTCATGATATTTTTCAGAGCTGAATAGTCTTAAGTGCAAGTCCATGCGTGGGCGTTGGTCACACACAGTTTAATGAGAGAAACTTGACCCTCCCAGAGGATACAGGCCAGGAAACATATTGGGTTCTATTTAGTTTAGAATACTTGGACTTCCTACAAGAACTCATAAATCTCTCATTAAGAGTCAAGTTGATTAACCAGGGTTTACTTGATGTCACATAGCCATGTATGGCAATGGACAGTTAGAATATACCATTTAGAAATATTTTATTGGCTCTCCCAAATGAAAGCCAACCTCCTTATGATTTACAAGTCATGGCCTATTTAAGAGCTAGTAATCTTGTAATTAGGTGTCTAATACTATGATTTCTTGCGAGACGATGCTTTCATTAACCCGGTATTAACAAAGAGTTATTATATCGTGAACTACATGTCTGATCATTGGTTGGTTGTTGACTGAAATGGTATTATACTGAGGTCTTCACAATACCCAAATAAGAAGTTTATCACACGGACACTAAATAACACCTTCATTGCTTTATTCTTTATCATTGATTGTGCTAATCTAAACTTCCCATTAGGTGTAATCATTATACCCAAGTAGCAAAATTCTGTTACTGCTGTTATGTTTTTATCATCTAGCGTGAATTGAAGATTTTTATCATTCTGTTACCAGTGTTGAAAGCCATTATTTTTGTTTTATTTATGTTTACAACAAGATTCCATTGGTTACAGTAATTTGATAATTTTATCACGGGGGAATTCTTCTCTGGGTTCTACACACGTGTCAGGAGGGAATCTCGTCTCGTCTCTCTATCGCGTCCCCTTGAGGTACGGGACCGGGAAAGTCACTTAAACCTTTTACAGTTAAATAAACGCACACAACAAAATACGTTTCAACTCTTGTCTTAGTCGGTCAGTCGAGCACTCTATAAGTCACAGCGCCCTGGGGAAAAGTCCCCAAGACTATCGCAAGGCTGACCCAAGACTGCCTCTAGACTGCGTCAAGACTCGCCCCAAGACTCTCCAGGACTGCGTCTGTTCTCGTGTACTCGCCAAGACCAACTAAAAACTCTTTATTCACTTTCAAAACCTTAACCAACCACAAAGCAGTAAAAAGACTCTAGGGCGTAACCTTCAATCATACAGCCAATCACACTAAGTACTGAACACGTCATATCTTTTGATTAATCGTTCACTACATTAATAACTGTAAAAATAGTAGTCTGAATAGCAACGGTTATCTCGTAACTAGTTCCAAATCACTGAGTCGAGTTCCGTCCAGAACCTCAAATGGGCCGAAACTATGACAGACATAACACAGCCATTCGCTAGTAATCAGCTAATTAAGTTGATCAACAGATACGTGCAAACAATTTCATCGTCAATTTTGTAACCCATCTTGAGTTTCTGACAACAATACAAGGTCATCTGCATACAAGATTGAGTTTAGTGGTATGTCGCCAATAAAAACATGATGAAC